CAAAATGTTAGTAGAAATAATACTAATAACTAGCATTTTGAGGTAACACTGGGTTCTGTGCTAAATACTTAATATGCATTATAATTAACATTAACATGCTTTATTATTATTCACAGAGGCGGTTTGAGATAGACTGTGTTATTACTTCCATTTTTCAGAGAGTTTAAGAACTTTCACCACACTCATGGCTAGTAAGCCACAGAGCTGAGCTGCTAACCTGAGTATGAGTGACTCCAGAGGCAAAGCTCTTAATCAATAGGCAAATGAAAAACTCCATTTAACATTCCTTATTTTACAACATAGAATGAAATCCAGGGGCTTTGTCTCATCTTACCTGGGCATATGTTGAAAAATAGCATCTGGAGCCTTTCAGAATCAAATCCATTTCAGACAAACTAGGAGGAAAATATCCTACTTAGAGATTCTCATTAAAATGTAAGTGAAGCCCCTTTGAGACACTTGAGTTTTTCTGGAGCCTTCTGCCCAGGTTCTTGCCATGTTTGTCCATGGCTATTTTTTTTCTGAAGGTAGAGAGGAATTGCAAGCTTCGGGATATTTATGTGCTACATGTACATGCTGCTTTGGTACCAAATAACTAAATGAATGTTATTCGACAACTAATTTAGCGGGGAAAAGGATGATTTTTCTGTATTATATGACTTTCTCAGCAGAGAATTAGAAAAAATGCAAATAAGAGGTGAAGTAAAGAACCTAAATAGATATAAAAGAAATTCAAGGAACTGGAGCATAGTGTCCTCTCTCAGTCTGGCTCTTTGGTGTCATTGTTTTGGTATTTTTGTGACTTCTTAGACTCAAATATCTCCAGAGAGGCAAAGGTTGGAGCCACATTGAAATTTCGTGCTGCTCTTGTTTTTTTCAGATGACCCACTACATTCACCATCACCTGCAACATTCTCACAGTTCAGAAGAGTTCTATTAAATTTTTAATACACTGTCTTTTTCGATGGCAGAGAGCCCCTTTTGCTGGCTATCAGCCCTAGACACATGATTATATATCTATAAATATACTCATAAAGCAAAAAAGCAGGGCAGCCTTCAGGGCTAAAATAGACCTTTTATATCCCTAGTGATCTCTCTAGTTTAAAGAAAAGCACAACCCTGTCAAAAAGGGGTATATATTCCTGATTTAAGATGCTAACATTAAGGAATATAGTTCTTATTCCAAGCCAAAGAAAAATTCTGGGGATGGAATCGGAAATTAGGGTGTTGATGGCCTGCAAGGTTTCTGCCTGTAACCCCCTATGATTTTAGGCTTGTTATTTCTGTGAATACTTTTATAAGCAGAGACATCTGGTAGATCCCTGACTCCATAGTCTTTGGGCATTGAAAAAAGTATCAGCTGCTCCAGCATTTCTGAGGTAATCACTTTGGATTAAAACAAACATAAAATCTTAAGTAGCTTTCTACAATCTAAGTTATTTCTTTTAAGGATCTAATCATGGGAGAAATGTATCCTTCATCTCCTCATCTCAAAGGATGTATGCCTTGGACTCCCCAGGACACTATAATCGTCCTAAATCTTAGAGATGGAATTGGATATTAAAATTGATTATACACACCAACTCCCACACCTGTCCCAGGCACTTTGCACATTTACAGGTCTCTATTATTTTCCATTTCATTTTCACTGTAATTCCCATTTGTAACAATTCCCACAGCCCAGTTGACCTTCCTTTTAAACTGAAGACATTCTTCAATTTCTTAAGATGCCAGGAAAGGGGGTGGATTATGAAAGCTTTTCTCCCTTTTCATTGATGAACCTACCACCAGAATTGGGGCTCACTTTTCTCTGACAGGGGGCATTATTTATCATTTTTTTTATCACTGCTGCCAGGATTAATAACAAAAATGGCAAAGAAAACTGAAGATTAGTAATTTGGACAGATTATTTAAACTCTGAAATAGCATACCCATCATTTTAGTTTTGAAACAAGCTCTTATCATGTCACTTAGGGCCTCACCAACCTTTTAGAAGCTCTTTATAAATTGGAAAGCTTTAGGACTCTTTTCATTATGAAAATGGTTTCTACTCTTTTTTTTAATCCAAGTGAGATTAAAAGGTGTTGAATTGGGAAGTGAATAGCAAAGGAAAGTGGGGGGGAGGCAACTCAACTGCAGAGTGAACAGTTTGTGAATTTTGTAGACTTTTTACAACAAAGAAATTGCAGAAGCTTTGGGATTGCAAAAAGGGGGCGGGGAAAGAGGCAAATTTAAGACTCCAGTTGGGTGTCACAGATGGTACACTAAAATTGCAAATGAATGCCACTCTGTAATCATGAAGGCAGTGATCTTAATCTCACTTAAAGGGACACCAGCACCCTATTTAACAATTTGCCTTTATATTTAAGTGTTGTGTACCAGGCTTTTGCCTTTTAGCAGATTGGTTATTCCTTGTCCTTTATCCCAGTTTCCTCTCTGCTTAATATACAAGGAGCAGATTTTTATCATGGTCCTAAGGAACAGATGACTCTCAGTATTTGTGCCAGAAAAGAACACACAAGCTAAACCTTTATTCTAGGTGAGACGGGTAAAAAAAAAAAAAAAAAAAAAAAAAAATCCTGACTTTTTCTCTGAAGGAAAGTAAAATCATCCCTGAATAATCTCTAGGGGACCTTCAAACACATTGCATGGGCCTTCTCTTCTCTCTTCTCATCACTGTTCTCTTCCTTAAACACTGCCTTTTTCCATGGGTCACCTTAAATATTAATACTTGCCATCCCCTCCCCCTCACCAGAAGAATAAGGAGAAAAGTAAATTCAGGGTTAGTTTTAGGACTGGCTTACCTTTAGGGAACTGTGCTCCAAATCCTATTTCTAAAAACTAGCAACAGTTGTAAATTATGCATTAAATATGTTGCAAGATATAGGAATTCTATATGTTCACGATGTTTAAAAAAAAAAAAAAAGTCACACTGGTCCAGTAAAGCAAGTCTGAAGCTTTGACAAATCTGCAAAGATTGTTTCACTCAACAGTTTGAAACTCTTGAGCACTAGAAGAGAAGCTTGGGGTTAGCACATAGCCCAAAATGTCATCTTGAAATTCTCAGGTTCGTGTTTTATTTCTCTGCACATGGTAACATTATCAGGTAGGACAGAGATGACTGGTTGTCTTCCAAATGATACACATACATTATGTACATTATTGCCACCCTCCCCAACTGCATTTCTCTCTGCATAACACAATGTTACTGGCTAATTCTGGAGTAAAGCTTCTGACAAGGGTACAAAGGGTTCTCCTCAGGTGCTTTGAAGGTATGTAACGGGCTTCCTCTCCAGCAGCAATCTGGGCAGTTTAGATGCAGCAGTTCCAAAGGAGGCACAGGAAACTAAAAGACAAAGTATGGAAAGCGGAGCGGGAGAGTTCTCATTTGTGAGTCAGTCTTTGTAGGAAGAACCTGAAAGACCATGTAAGCGCAAAGGCTTGTCCATCTAGAACTCTGCAGTAGTGAGTCACATGTCTGACTTTGTCACCAATAAGGGGCACCTCAGCGAGAGTCACATCTGATAATATATGTTCCAACACTGACCATCCCGTCAGGGCAGTTACTGTGGAGGGCAGAACAGACAAGAACATCATACCTGGCTGAGTGCTTAATGACCCAGCTCAGAAATAATATATTCCCAACTCAACTGTCTGACTAACTGGGACTGGAAAACATCATGCTGTCCCTGCTGGAGGATTTTTTTAAAAAATAGCTGAATTACATTTTTGGAATAAATTTAGTGAGGAGATATGAACTGTGACTTCTGGAGATTCTTTGTTTGAAAAATAACATGGTAAAGAGACAGAGAAGAGACCTCGATTAACTCGCTTACGTACGTGAGTAATAAACGTGGCCCAACAATTAGGTGAGTAACATCCACCACAGAATATTTGTGGTACCCATGATTTGCAAGCCACTATGATTTACTGAATTACTCTGAACTTTCTTTCCTGACCTAGTCCACATGTTTATAAGTGCAATAACTAGGGTCTGTGGGTAAACCAATTTATTTTTCCCACTCTAGATAAGAATCGCTGATTTTAATTTTTTTAAGATTTTATTTATTTGAGAGAACAAAGAGGGGCAGAGGGGGAGGGAGAGGGACAAGCAGACTCCCTGCTGAGCTGAGCAGGGAGCCCAACAGGGGGTGACTGAGCCCCCGCCAGGCACCCCAAGAATCGCTGATTTTAAAAACTCACTTTATTATTTCTACATTTCTGAATCTAAGTTTTCCACAAGGCATGGATATCTAGTCTGAGTATTTTTAAAATCTAGTGTCCACCTCAGCATATATTACATATAGCATAAAAGCAACACATAAACATGAGATCAGTGCAAGGCAAGTTGTCATTTAATAGGGGAATTTCTGGGAAAGCATAATTAAAAAGGGTTTGTTAGATGAACATTTTTAACCTCTCCTGCGCTCCCCTCACTTAGCATATAGTAAATGAAGACTGAACTTGATAAATGTTAAATAAAAGACAGTAGCTTAAAATACTAAAGACAATCTTTTATGTTCACTGATCTTCATCTCTGTGACATGGAGAATATGTCATGCTCATCCTCATGGGAGCAAGTAAGTAGAAACCGAAGAAGGCAATAATGAAATGCTAGGGCTTACAGATTAATCACATGCATGAGTGCATACACACACGCACACACACACACTTCTGATAGCCAGTTTTTGCAACAGTAACATGGAAGGTCATTATTTTGTAAGCAGATTCTGGAAACAGCCTACTTGAAATCTATCCAAATAATTACTTGAGAGTATCTTTAAAAGCTAGGGGGTTTCAGATTTTGGTGGCAAGAGGCATATAATGGGCTCTAAATCAGTTTAGAATGGTTAGGCTACAACCAAGGATCCATGTGCGGACCCAGGTCATTTTATTATTTCTGATGCCTAACCGATGAAATACAGTCCCCGAGAATGCCTATGAATTGTGTCTATCTACAAATATACTAATTGTGTTTTTCTTTCTCTTTTCAATCCCAGGAGGTGAATTAGTTGTCCCTCTTCTTATAGAAGACCCTTTAGCTACCCCTCCTATTGCTACTCGTGCACCTTCCATTACACTCCCCCCTACCTTTCGCCCCCTCCTCACCATTATTGAGACCACCAAAGATTCCCTGTCCATGACCTCTGAGGCGGGGTTACCTTGCTTGTCGGACCAAGGCAGCGATGGTTGTGATGATGATGGCTTGGTGATATCTGGGTATGGCTCAGGGGAAACCTTTGACTCTAACCTGCCCCCTACTGATGATGAAGATTTTTACACCACCTTCTCCTTGGTAACAGATAAGAGTCTTTCCACTTCAATCTTCGAAGGTGGCTACAAAGCACATGCGCCCAAGTGGGAATCCAAGGACTTTAGACCTAACAAAGTCTCCGAAACTAGTAGGACTACTACCACATCTTTGTCCCCTGAGCTGATCCGCTTCACAGCTTCCTCCTCGTCTGGGATGGTGCCCAAATTGCCAGCTGGCAAAATGAATAACCGTGATCTCAAACCCCAGCCTGATATAGTCTTGCTTCCGTTGCCCACTGCCTATGAGCTAGACAGCACCAAACTGAAGAGCCCACTAATTACTTCCCCCATGTTCCGTAATGTGCCCACAGCAAACCCCACGGAGCCGGGAGTCAGACGGGTTCCGGGGGCCTCAGAGGTGATCCGGGAGTCGAGCAGTACAACAGGGATGGTCGTCGGCATTGTGGCTGCCGCTGCCCTCTGCATCTTGATCCTCCTGTACGCCATGTACAAGTACAGGAACAGGGACGAGGGGTCCTACCAAGTGGACGAGACGCGGAACTACATCAGCAACTCGGCGCAGAGCAACGGCACGCTCCTCAAGGAGAAGCAGCAGAGCGCCAAGAGCGGCCACAAGAAGCAGAAAAACAAGGACAAGGAGTATTATGTGTAAAAACGACGCCGCTAATAATCACGTGAATTTAGGACACAGAATTATTTCTCTGTAAATCTATGAATACTCGGCAAATGAGATTTCACAGGAGTCAGAACAGTTGTTGCTACGAGATGGGGTGCACCATGACTATGGTGGGGAAAACCATTTTTTAAAGGACACACACAAAGATGTACCTACCTGTAAAGTTCAGCCATGGCTGCTTGGATTCAGTCATCGCTCGGAGACAGAACATTCTCTCGGCCCTGCTGTATCATAAAGCACACACGTTGCGCTCTGGAGCAAGCAGATGGCTCCCCCCACTTCCGCGGACTTGGAAGCTTCCTTCTCTTGAGGACTTTTCACCCAAGGTAGAAGACTTTCACGGCTTACTTGTTCCATAACTTCAAGTGAGTCTGTAATGATGTTTGTGAAGCTTGACTGTAACAATGTTTTTTTTCTTTTAATTATGTAAAAAACAAAAACAAAAAAAAATGAAAAAAATGAAACACAAAAACAAAAAAAAAACCCACCCTTATCTGGTTTTGGCCAGTGTATGTGTAACTTTTCAAGATCTGAGGGGAAAAAAAAAATGGCTTTTGGGTTTTTGTTTATTTTTTGAGAATGACCGGACATAAGAAAAAAAAAACAAAACAAAAAACTCAGAAAACGAAAGTAAGAGAGACTGTTGCCATACGAACTCAAAAGCTACCATGGTGTTCACTCTACATATCAGGTTGTGGTATTTCTAGAATCTGTTGTTTGTTTCCTATATGATGCTTTGCTGAACACATAGCAAAATCACAGGATGGATGATAGCATTGATTTGAAAAAGCTGGTCCCTCAGGATCTAATTTCAGAATCTGCCACCCAAACCCTGACCAGATGGGGGTTTAGGGCTGGTTTTATCAGAGCTACTGGCTTAACAATATTGTTCCTGTTCATTAGCCCAGCCAAATTGTGGTAAAGGAGAAAGCCCCACAAACTAAAAACAGAGCCTTTCGAGGGAAGGTGAAGAGGGGGTGGGCTGGATCTGTGACTGACTGAAATGCATGCACATAATAAAAGACAAAACAATACTAAAAGTCTGTGAAAGAATCAAAACAGACAGTAGGGGAGTTCAACGTGTGATGGATCCACAAAAGGTCACACAAGCCAAACATGGCATGACAGAGTGCAAAATACATAGTTCTTCCCCCGCCCCCAACATGATGTTTTTCATAGTGGTTTAATTTTGTAGCCTGACACTTACGGATAACTCTGTCCTTCCATTTGCTCACGTCCCCTTCACCCATCTTTTCTAAAAACAAGTAAATAATAAATGAATAAAGCTGCTGTGACACACACACAAAAAAGGAATTTAATAGTATAATATATATATAAATAAATATATATACAGATATATTTATCATGGTATGTTTGATGGGATGACTGAAACAGGAAAACTGTTAAAGTCTTGAAGTGGAATGAGAATGTTGTTTTAAAAGAAAATAACAAAACAACAAAAAAGTAAACCTTAAAATGTGAAGAAAGTGTGAGTTTTAGTTTTGTCACAGTTAACTGTGTCAAAGAGAATAAACAATCTTCTCAGATTTTGTTTACATATTTTACTACATTTTTGCTGTATAATCCCTTAGCCACCTGTGTACATACTGCTTTAAGAACTGTTCTTTCCTTTCTATGGGTTTGTTTCGGTTTGTTTGGTTTATATTCCAGTTCTCTGTCTTTCTTTTTGAAAAGAGGAAACAAATGTACAGAAAAACAAACTGGTTGTGTGGCCATAGCTAATCCAAAAAGCAAGAGACAAAGCAAGACAAATATTCACACAAAAATGAAGTATGTCTTCTGGAGGGTCGGATATATACAATTTCTTTTGTATAGATGAAAACCAATCAGCTGTTTAGATTTAGAAATCTACTCTTGCTGATCTTTGTAAGTTGCATGAATATTTGACTTTGAGAAATATCTTAAAGACATGGGGCAAAAAGCGTGATCTGAATGATGGTAGCCTTGACGAATGTGTATGGAAAGAGGTGTTCCTCATTATCTGATACTTCAGTGTGTTATGAGTTTTGGATTTTTTTGTTGTCATTAAAAAAGACAGGATTATAAAGAGATATCAAAGCACGATTTTAGATAACTTAAATGGCCCAACCTATATGAAGTTGATTATATCTCGATGTCTGTAAAAGATTGCTGTTTTTGGAGTCTTGAGGTCTTGTGAACCGATTTCCTACTTTCTTTCTTTACATTTTTTTTTAATTTGAATAAAAATACATTTGTTATATTCCTTTTAGTGTAAGTTTCTATTTGGACAATTTTATGGGAACATGTGCATTCTGTATGTGAGCTTCTATCATATTCCTGTTGTTTTATGAGCAGACTCTTAAGGAATTTATTTTATGATGTTGTGAAGTTACTGCTTTTTCTTTTTCCTTTCTCTTTGATTTCATATTTGCATTTTCGTTCAAGGATATGCTTAGCAATAAAATGTTCTTCCCAAAACCTTGTATGATGATGCATTTTTATTTTCTAAACATTTGGTAAAATATCTTACACTGGAGCTCAACATGTCATATCTTATTAAAAGCCAAGTGAGCTAGGACCATGTGAAATAAAATATTTTAACCAGTTACTAATTACTTATATAAATTTATCAAAAGTGGCACATTCATGGGCAAAACAACTGTTGTCTGTCAACTGAGGCATTATTATTTAGATTGCTATGATAGGGTAAGCAGGAGGGAAAACACTTCTGAACAGGTAAGGTGACAGAAGCACTGTATTCTGGGAAGTATTATTGGTACTATACATTTTTATTTTTTTTAATGTTTGGTAACTTTTAAGTATTTGCTGCAAGTCAACAAACTTCAAACAGTTTTCCAGAACCTTGCTTATATAATGTCTTAAGCCCTGGAAAGCTTTAGATGCCTTCTCTCTGAGTTTCCTGGCATATTGAAAATTTTTTAAAAAAATCACTAAGTCCAAAGACAAAATATACATGAATGCTTACATTTTAACAGCTTTCTAGATTTTTGGATTATAAACTTCTGCAAATATTCATTATAGCTGGCACCATTCTCATATCTCATGTGCCCCTGATTTGCTGGTTCCCTACACACATGCTTACTTTGCCAATTGGATAATCCATCATGATATGCCACATTTTTCACCATGATCCTGACATGTTGGTTAACTGAACTGGCGTACTCTATCCATACATAGGTTACCAGTTTTCAAAGAGAAAAGCAAATTTGGTTAACCCTGTTCCTTTGGATTTCATATGGTTATGCTCTTTACTATCATGGGAATGGAAAAAAAAAAGGCTCAAGGATGTCAAATTATGGAAAGTTTCTATTTTTGCTGCCTCTCAGATAATTTATGTAAATTAAAGCAACATTTATCAATCCCCATAATGTGCCAGGTACTGTGTTAAATGTTTTGGATCTGTGTAGTGTGTTTAGTCTCTGAGTAGTACATAGTATTTTCCTTATCTTAAAGATGAAGAAACAAAGACACAAAGAGCTTAATGACAACTTGGCAGATAGATTCCTAATCATGTTAGAAGTCAGGCCTTGCTGACATGGGGGTCAGAGGAATGTCATGGAACGGGTAGAGGTACTGAGACCCAACAGGGTTGGGTTGGAACTCCAGCTAGACTCCCACCATGTATTGGGCAGTCTCTCTGAAATTTGGCTTCCTCATCTGAAAAATAGGACACCTCAATGACCTTGCCTTGCAAGGCAGTTTGGGGAAAAAGTGAAATAAAGTGTTTTAATTGTGATTGATACAGAGTAGGGGCTCAACAAAGTTATGCTCCTTTACTTTGAGTCCTTTGCTATTCTGTATATAATAGCTGCCTTCTAGAATTAGAAATCCTGCACTAAATTCTACATTAATAAAAAGTTTTAGTTGTTGGCAAACAATGTTGGCAAGTCAAGACTAGTCGTAATAGACAAAACTAGTCTTTTTCTGGTCATATACTTTGCAGGCATGACTGCAACTAGTAAATATGTGGCGTTGAAATATGGTAGCATACATCTGTCTGACAGCACATTTTAAGCAAGTGGCCAGAAGCTGGGGTATGTAAAGGGAGTCTAGATTTGAGAAAACTTGCCAGAGAAATTTCCAAATAATGGTTAATGTGGTAGATTCATCAAGATCTAAGTGGCATTTGCTCAGATACACTGGTTAAAGTTCATCAACAGAAATACTTTTTCACTGTCGTTCCATGAGGAAATGTTGAGACTACACCATCTCTTTTCAATGTGTTTAACTTGGGCCATAGGCTTTAGAATCTGAAGAGCTTAGCTCAGATCTTGGATCTGAATCTTTGGTCTATCCTTTACTAGCTGTGAAACTTAGAGTAAGGTGTGGGGTGACTCTAGCTTCATCTGTGAAATTGGAATAATATTGGAATGATTTTTTTGGGCGGGGAGTACGAATTGTTTTATTATCATCAACATGGCACTTAAGTAAATGAAATCTTGTCAAGTACATGGTGACGGGTTTGTTTCTGCATCTGTCACTTGGCGAATGAAGATACCATCTTCAGGATGTTCTGTGTCACCCATTTCATACATATAGCGATGCTATTGCGAGCGTGGTCCCGTTATTACTGAAGGCCAGGGATGCAATGCTGGTGGGGTACCGATGGAACTGGCACAGTCGCTTTTTGTTAAATGGATCCCAAATGTTTACAAATCCATCAAAGCCACCTGTAGCAAATGTATTGTGGATGTTGTGAAAGGAAATGGCATTGACTGGTGCTCTTAGTGCTATTCTATAACTAAATGAGCTGATGTGAATATTAAGTGCTTGGTTATAAGCACAGTGCCTGGCCCATAGCCCTCAAACAATGATGGCTAATACTGCCTTTTTAATCACTGAGTATTGTCCTAGAAAAAAAATAAGCCAAAATTCCTTCTAAAAGTTTAGAAAGGTTATATATTGGAGAGCCCCAGAGCAATCACTTTACTCTGTCACCCAAAATCATAACTGTTTTTATTCCCCTACAGCTGAAATCACATTGATTCTATGAGCTCTTCTTGAGTGTTCCACCAGAAATGTGCACACCCCTGTAAAACCCATTATTTCAATCAACTCTTTCAGTATAGGGTGCATAAGAAAGATTCGAATGGTAGCCTGTTCCATACCTCAAAGGACAGTCTTCCAACCCTTCCAAATTACAGAGTTATCATTGCCTTAGACACCCTTTCAAAACTCTATATTGGCTTTCCCGCCATAAACTTTCTAAATACCACTATCTAGTATATAATCCAAGAACCACTTTAAGCATTTACTCTTTTGGTAATTCAACACTTACTGAACACTTCTGCACCATCCAATCTATTGGTTGTTGTTACTTTCAGTGAAGGCAGACAATGGATATAAGCCTTTTTTTCTGGTGTAGATCCCTAAGCTAAAGTTCTCTTCACCCTATTCAAATTGAAGTTTGGTCTTTCTCCAAAGACATCCAAGTCCTGTTCTTGTCCCAGTTCAATTAAAATCTTGATAATTCTGCTTGAAATTGGTTTGATTATTAATGTACTTATTGGACACTGACCAAATGATTACTATATCTCAAATTGAGAGACTTAAGGAGTTTAATAACATACTAAAAGAATACAAAGAATGATACTACAGTGAATAAAATCTGTCAAAACAGTATAAACTACATTCTTTGGAGGTTCGGAAATTACTTAAGGGAGGGCTTCAGAGAGGAGGTGATATGTTAGGTAAAACTTGAAAAATTGATAAGCAGAGATCAGGGCTACATGCCATTCCAAGCAAAGCACTGAAATGGAAGCAAGTAGGATCAAAACCATATTTGGATGGATCACAGATTGTATATAAAGTGTATTATGGATGGTATGACTCAGAAGTTTTTTGGAATTTTGTTAATGAAAGGAAAGAATAATGAGAGGATGTTGAGGCTCTCAAGGTCAAGGGCTAGTTGTTGAGTATAGAGGACACAAGCATGTTTGAAAAGAAAGGTAATAACTGATACATTCTCAGAGAATGTAAAAGATGATTTGAGAGACCAAGTTTGCATATAGAGATATTACTCTGAACAAAGCAAGGGAAGAGTATTCTTCTGATACAACAAAGGAGAGAGGGGGATAAACAAAATTGACATATTGCATTGGAGGTGGCAGAAGTAGAGGCAGATATTGTCAGCCTCAACATTCAAGATAAGGTCAAAGTCACCTAACAGACTGTGAGCACACGGCAGAAGTCGGTTGATAACACCGTTAGGAAGACAGCTAATAGAAGTATCCGTCAGAGGTCAATTATCTTTATCTGATATTAAATGTAATAATTAATATTTTGGCTACATTTCCTTTTTATGTCCTGCCTTGAAGTCTAATCTTGTGTTTCCAACTTTAGAGTTCTTTCAATTATGTAATACTTTCTCTAGAGAAGCAAGCCATTTTATACTTTTTTTTCCAGAAGCATTTGGAGTGGAAGCTAAGGAAGAGGCTGCTAGGCTGCTGCACATAACCTACCGGGGCTGCCACAACAGAAGTATTATAAGCTGGGTGGCTTACCCAACAGAAATTTCTCTCTCACAGTTCTGGAGACTGGGTGTCCCAGATCGAGATCTGGTAGGGTTTGTGTTCTTATGAAGGTTTTCTTGGCTTGTAGATAGCAGCCTTCTAAATCTGTCCTTTTGTCTATGCGTGTGCTGCAAGGGGGCATGGGAGAAAGAGATCTTCCTCTTCTTATAAGCCACAGTCCTATTGGATCAGGATCCTACCCTATGACCTCATTTAACTTTACCTCCTAAAGATTCTTTCTCCAAATACAGTCATATGGTGGTGGCGGGGGGAGGTAGGGCTTCCACATATGAATTTGGGTGGACACAGTTCAGTCCATCACAGATGTATATGGTATTAGGAATTAGCAAGGTGAAAATTTCAAGAGCTCAAAGAAGTAAAGGAACCCAGAAGCAACTCTAGCCTTGTTGAAGTGCCTGCATGGGCAAGGTAAAAGTGCAGATCAATCCAGGAGAGCCTAAACCACAAAGCAGGAGAGAATCACAGGACTAGGAGCCAGGATTGGAAAGCAGTGTTAGGGTTGTCTAAGAGAGAGGCCACCGGAGACAGGAATAGCTAAAGGGAAACCAGGCTTAGATTTAGAGGTGTACTAAGTGAATAGTGCGAGCTTTAAGAGGCTGTGAACTTTGGAGTGGTTCTTAGGTCCATGGGTTCTCCAGTCAGAATCCCATGGCTTGTATTCTGGTGCTATAACTTGAGATAAATCATTTGGTCTACCTAAGACTCCACTTTCATACCTATAAAAGCAAATTATAATTACCTATCTTGTAAGTTTGTCAGGAAAGATTGAATAAATTCATGTAAAATGCTTAACTTATCCTTGGCACATAGTAAACCTGAATAAATGTCAGTCATTATTACAGTTTGGCCTTGTTACCTGACTCAAGCAACATCAAAATTAGTGACTACCCCCATGGCTATCCAGCACCAAAAAGAACATAACAATAGAGAAATTAGGCAATCACCCTGAGTATTTCCCTAGGTCTTTCATTTTCCAAGAAAATACAAAATGCAGTTGCCTGCTCCTTAGCAAAGCTTTCCCTTCACTGCCAGGCATTCTCTGCTTCCGGGCTCCAGCTTGGATGATGCCCATGCCAGGTCATACCCTGATACTGCCATTCCTCTCCTGCGTTTCTAGCTCCCAGCTTTCCTGTGGCAGCTGGTCAGTCAAACACTGGGAAACCAAGATGCCTTCAGGAAACCTTGTACCCCTTTACTGAAATGCATTATTTTGGTTTTGTTTTTAATTT